GGTTGTGTTTTGATCTTCTTTGTCACCAAAGATTCTATAGTCTGACTTTTTTTGTGCAGTTTGCTCATGATCCCAGACAATTACTTGAGTTATAAACTCTTTGTTAAGGTAGGGGTCTGCTTCCAGTGTGGAGAATGTACTGTGCAGCTGTTTTCAGAGATACTTCTAGGGATCCTTCACCCTTTTTAAAAACACTAGTACAGCATTATCCCTTCTCTGTTCTTGTGTTCCCTATCCTGTTCTCTACAATCTTTCAAGATCACTGACTGGGTAAGTAACTGCCCCCAGCCTTTTCTTTCATGACCTTTGGGTACAGTTCATCTGGGCCCAGTGACTTGAACTCATAAAGGGTAGTGAACTATGACTACCTCTTTACTTATCTTGGGTTTCAATTCTTTATTAGCTTTCCCACTTTGGTGGCTCTTACTATGACATTTTATACTTTTTAGGAAGCAACATACACTCTCTCCCTATCATTAGAATGTAAAAAGGAAATGGGTATTCACTACATAAATTCTAGTTATTATTATTACTACCATCATCATTATCTAGCCAAGCAACCTTTAGATATAAACAGCCATTTGATTTCCTTGAGTGGCACATAACAAGGGCTGTACACTCTACCACTGGTACTAGGGAGTCAGAAGGTGGGAAAGATCTTTTCTCAGGAAGCAGATATTAAATGACCACTTCTTGGCAATGTGGAAAAGATGCCTGTTCAGGAACAGGCTGGACTGCAAAGGATCTCAGAGCCTATCTAATTCAGATTCTTTGACTCTGTGAATGAAATTCAAAACTCTAGAAGGCATACACAAAGTATTATTATGTTGGGTTTTTTTTAATTAAAAAAAAATCCACAAATGCAGAAGTGACTATTTCAACTGTTTTTGGTGAACATAACTAATAGCTTAGGATTTGGCAGTGTGTGAGATTTAAGTGGGATGGTCTACCTACAATTCTATCTAATGAGTAAAGATAACTTGGCTTTTTATTTCAACCATCCATCTTGCCAGACACATATTCTTTCTTTTAAGCCTTTTGACTTTTCCCATTTTCCTGGCAAGGCTGAGATATATACATGTTTTGTCCTGTTTCCTTAATGGGAAAAAACAAAAAAAAACCACCACATAAAATATTATGGAATTGGACACTTGGTATGGCAGATAATAGGAGCCAAATTACTGCCCAAGAAATCTGCATGTAGTACAAGTGGTACTCAACCATTTTTTGTCGGCACTTAGACTGAAATACCACTAACACGATAAGTAGATCATAGAACATTAATTAGAAAGAACTTTATAACTAGGAAGGACTTTAGAGATCACTTAGTCCCCCCCCTGCCTCATTTTACAGATGTGGAATCTAAGATCCAGAGACACAGACAAGTGATTTGCTTAAAGTCAGTGACAAAATTGTGGCTAACATTCAGGTCTCCTGAATCTTACCTATAGTTGTATACTTTCTGCTACCAATATACCACTGTATTTGTATATTATCATATTCACTTACAGTGTTGTGGTGAAACCAAAATGAATACATTGTGTGCAGTGTTTCATTATAACCCTTAGCTAAAAAGCCATCAGCTAATTAGAACATGAACTAGTCACAAATGGCAAAATACTTCAATACCTTGAACTTGTACAGTGAACCCACGCTCTTTACCCATGAAATCCTGCAGATATCTAAACTACCAACTCCAGGGTTAGGCCAAATTCATTCTACTAAGACTCTGAATCTAGGAATGATCTCAGGGATTCAAGTTGAAACTAGGTTAAACCACTCCTGAAGAGAAATTCAGGGTGGTGAAGATATTCGGCTTCTCTCAACCTGGTTTTAGAGAACTCACTGAAATTAAGTATAGTTTTGGGGTTCAATATGGAGAAGGTTCTGATTGAGAGGTAAGAGAACACTCAAGGCTAGTGATGGACTTCTCATATTTAACTCTTAACTTGAAGTGTAAGAAATAAGAAAGTTGCTTAATTTTGGAAATGAAAAAATGTTTTGGTAGTTGAAATTAATCATCTTGTCCAAAGCCTTCATTTTACTGAGGAGGAAAGTGAGACCCAGAGATGGAAACTGATTTGCCCAGGGCCACACAGGTAGTAAGTGGCAGAGTTGGGATTCAAACTTTAGGTCTTTTGATTCCAAATCCAGTTCTCTTTCCATCCTAATTTCTGTTTCCTGGCACACCATAATCTACCTCTCCAAGGGTTATAGAGTATACAAAGCTCTTCCAACAGTTCCATCACTGAGAGAATATGTTTATGCTTATGGAACACAGAGAGTGAAATATCTCCACACATAACAAGCTTCTTATGACAAAGCAACATAGTACCAACCCAAGAAGGTAAAACATCCGCAGAAAAGTGTATCCCAGTGTTGAGTAAATTATCAAATTCAAATGGACATGAGAACCCACCCAGGCTCCTGACTCCTCACCTGATAGCTTCCTTTAACTCCAATCCCCTATCTCTGACTACTGGATATTTGCACCTCATTCTGCTAGGGTCTCAAACCCAACAAGTCAAAGACTAAACGCACCTATCATCTTCCTCCTAGCTTCCTTGTTTTGTTCTACAGTTCCATCAACTTCTTAATCATCTAGGACTGAAACCTCTGACTAATTGTTAACTCCCTCTCACATTCCCACATCCAGTGTCCAGATTTTTTTTTTCACTTCAAGGATCTGTAATTTCATCAGTATGGATCTTCTTTTCTCCACTGATAAGGATTGTAACTCATACATAATTTAATGGACAGTCTTTGAGAGTTGCTATAGCTGAAAAATCAATCACTTGCATTCAAGTTAGTTGAACTTAGGTAAGGTGATAATAGGACAATAAAGCATGTTTTAGATAGACCTGTCAGGACTTTCATTTTTCCAGCATACTCTTTGAGAATTTTCCTTGAACAATATATAGGAGTAGGTCTTTTGTAGAGGTCAATTTTACCTCTGCACTACTCTTATGTGTGTCCCTTCCTCTTCACTCACATTGCCATCACTCTTTCTTATTACTAGACTTCATTTCACTCTATTTTCCCTTAGAATCAAGGATCTCCATTTTAGTAAAACTGGAATACTTGCTATTCCTGGATTTCCTTCTGTCCTCTACCATGCCCAGGATTCACACAGATCATTTTCCATGCTGCGGATGAATTCCTTTAACATGTCTGCCAGATAAAACTCTTCTGTTCTTCCAATGCCCAGTTCAGGTACCTACTCTTCCAGAAAGCCTTCCCCTGATCTTCCAGCTTTAAGTCTTTAATTTAAAAAAATTTTTTTTTAATTTTTTGCAAGACAATGGGGTTAAGTGACTTGCCCAGGGTCACACAGCTAGTAAGTGCCTGAGGCAGGATGTGAATCTAGGTCTTCATGACTCCAAGGCCAGGGCTTTGTCCATTTTGTCATACTGCCTCTTGAAACTGGAACTTAAATGAAGGAAGCTGGTCTGATGGCTTTTCCAGAGAACATCATCATAATGTTTTGCACACTGCTTAGTCACTAGATTAAAACACAGCAGTCATATTCTTACTCATGATAAGTTGTTACATTAAGGAGGAAAACTCCTAAAGCAGTTTAAAATCTATGAACCAATAAGAATTTCAGAAAAATGTAGCCTTTACCTTCAAAGAAGATAGAGAAGGCTGATGGGGGTCAGAATAAGTGAAACCTACGTAGAAAACCATCTTTGTTCAACAAACTCTTACCTCAAAAGCAGCATTTCTAAACACTGATGTTTACTTCCTGAATGAGTAATGAGTTTTGAACCTGCATATGTAGACTACCTGCTTAATTAGACTGTGGGAAACATAAAAGAGCTATTAGATGTAAAACTGTTCAGTTTCCTTAAAAGAAAATATTCCAAGATTCAGGATCAGTGTGAAATGTGTCTCCAGGGTTGAAGAAGGATGAGGGTTCCTATTTATACTTAGGAGCTCTTTTCTGGAGTCAGTTAGAGGCAGTCAATCTTATGCTAGCTATACCATAACCCACCACCCTCTGATGTTGACCATTATCAACTTTCTGGAGTTCCTTACAAGCTGTGGTAGCTCTACCTTAGATGCCAACACTGCTCTTAGTAGCACTGGGCTTGCCACTGGTGATGATGACCACAGTTTGTCAATGGTAGGTATGGGCCTGGAGCCTTGCTGAGAATGCTTCAGCTGAAGCCCAAAGATCTCTCCACACCCCTTTTTTCCCCAAATCGTTAAAGAAGCCTCTGAGTTAGCAGTAAATTAAGATAAAGAAGAGGAAAATGAAAAGGAAGAAAGTCTCCTGTCTTTATGACTTTAAGAAACACTGGGTACAACTCCCTAGATCAGGGCAATCTTCAGGGACCCTGTCCCAGGTAGACAGTGCTTCATATTCAAAAGGTTCAACATATTAGAAAGTAAACTAACAGTTTTCTGTCATTTGTGGAAAACACAAATACTGTTACAGAACACCCTGGACTGCTTCTTATATTTGAATCATGAACCTCTTTCTGTAATTAGCCACACACTATTTTTTGGTTCTCTGACTAGGTTAGGTTTATACAATATTGTGTGGAAGTAAAGATAAGACTGTATCCTGATATATATTTTAAAACACAGCATGAAAATATGAAACAATGATTTAATTTATAACAGAACAGGATAAGAATAACAGCTAGCATTTATATAGCATCTACTATGTGTTAGGCACTGTACTAAATGCTTTACGATTATTATCTCATCCAATACTCACAACACCCCTGGGAGGTAGGTGCTGTTATTATCCCCACTTTAGTTGAAGAAACTGAGGCAAACAGTGGTGAAATGACTTGTCTAAGATCACACAGCTAGTATTTGAGGCTAGATTTGAACTCAGGTCTTTCTGACTCCAGGCCCAGCACTCTAACCACTGCAGCACCACGTAAAAAGATGATAATATGATGAAATAAAGATGGAAAGATCTGTCCCTTTTCCTTTCTCCATTACTCATCTTTTTTAAATGAGGGAAAAAAGACAAAACACCCACATTTCTAACAGTTCCCTGTTTTATTGCAATACATCAAAGTCAGGTTAATATTAAGTGTGTCACCAACATAAAGTATTGGTGAGGAAGTCATTCATTACATTTCGGACTGTCCCACCTTAAATATTTCTGTGCAAAAGAATCCACATCATTGTTTGGTAGCAGAGAATCTCTTATAAAGTCCCCTACAACATCAAGGGCATCAATCCAAACAAAATAAAATAAAAAATGATAAGAGGCCAAAGCAGTATCTTTCCCCCTCCACACAGACTTGTCAGCTTTTATACTCTAAACAAAAAAGTGATTACATCTAGGTCATGCAAAACTGTACAATAATATTACAATGAAAAAAACCCTAAAAATATATTTTTAAAAAATAAATGATATGAAACTGTCAGACATAAAAAAGGCAGGTCATTTTTTTCCCCACTGAAACATCAAGAATGGTTTGTGTCTTTATCAAATCTTCCCCACAACTGAGGCTATTTCTTACATGTAACAGAAGGTTTATTTTTGTTTCATATTTTCAAATGTGGATGGAAAGGAAGAGAAAAATCACAGATTCCCTGATGGAAATGCCAGAGAAATGGAAAACAAAACATCTATGGCAGCTATGTTGTTTGGGAGTCCTGGGCCCGCTGAACTATGTAAGCATATTCCACCCCCCATCCATCATCTCATCAAGCAGGATTATTCTAAGAACTTTGGCCTGGATTAAGTCACTAAAGTCACAACTGGGAATCTTGTGGGTGAAATGAAATGTCAAACACTTCTTTATATAGTTCAGAAAAGAATGAAATGAGGGGCAGGAGGAGAGGAGGGACAGAAAAGAATGAGAAAAATGCCTGATTATCTCTCATGTATTTGGCCACCATTGTCACTTATAAAGTCTGGCCTATTAGAAGTTCCTAAACATAAAAATTCAAGTTGACCTGATTTTTCAACATCTTGCTTCCCCATCTGGAGAACTGACATAACGTATCTTATCCAAACACACTTTGGCTTCGAGACCAGAGTGTTTCTGATGACTCCAAAGCCACTGAATCCAGCTCAGCTACAGTTTTACATGCTTTTCCTGCTGGAATCAGGGACGGTTGCTCTCACTGCCCCCATCAATGCATAGGCAATACCTGAGAGTCTAATATAAATTCAATCAGTCATGGTTCCATCAGGCTCAAAATCTCTTTCTCAGATACACAATTCAGTAATATGCAGTCACTAAGTGATAAGATACATTTCTGACCACAAGAAAGGCAGAGAGGGGCCGAAAGGCCACTGAAGAATGACAACTTGTTACAAAATTGTTTTAGATTCAGGGGATTTGGGGATGTGTGTGATTGCTTAAGTGTAGGAACCAGGAATTTCTTGGGAAGCCAAATGAACAAATAACAGCAGTTATAATTTATGACTCTAAAGCTATGTTCCAAAAGAAAGTGCCCAAATTACTGGCAATAGCTGGATTTTTAAATAATCAAACAAATGCAACTTACTTCAGCAACCTCTGAGGCTTTCAATTTTGGCAAAAATTGTACATGTACTGTGTACATTAAAAGCACATGATGAAATTACTCAAGATTCAAGGGCAGACAACACACCAGGCAGGTTTGTAGCTTAAACTGTGCAGTTGCCCCTAGCACCAGAACCAAAACTCCACAGCTCCCAACCCTCAGAGACAGATGCTGGGCAAAACGCCCTTTAAGACGTAGCTTTCCTTTCTATCAAGAAGAGAAAGTATTCCTTCCACACGTACCCAAATTACCCACGATAAATAAGAGATTCTATGTGCAGTACTAAGAACAGATAGGAAGCATCTTTTCAATCATGTGCCACTGGACTCCTCCAATGGTTAACAAGTTTCTTTTTCTTTCTTTGGATCCTTTTTTCCAGAGAGCCTTCAGTGAATTTCCGGGTGCCTTCTCAGAAGATACTGAATGTATTATGCTATGCATTTGAGGGTAGTGTGATGATAAAATATAAAAGTGTCTCCCCTCCTTGCCAAAAATGACTTTTTTTTGGGGGGGGGAGATACTGCAATAAATTTCCTATTGAAATTACCCTATTACAACCAACTCTTCATTAAAAAGCATAACTGGGAGGCTACTCCAATGATAGCTCTGGCATGGGTCAAGCGGGACATGGTGTGAGCTGGAGCTCTCTGTACAGGTGCTGGGGTTCATCCTGTACATTTCTCCTCTTCTGGGAGGTCTGAGACAGTGATCAGTTTGAAATGGAGCCCGATCCTTAAGTAGGCTCACTTTCTGGCCTTAGCAATGATCCTGTCTATATGCAGTCTGGGGCCATAAGATGGCCCAGAACCAAAGGGTTTACTGGCATGATATGATACTTCCTTAGGAAAGAGAAATCCCTAAGAAGGGCTTGAGCAGAATAACAGACAAGACTTGAAAATAAGGTGCTCCCTGGGGGTGTATGTCCTTTTGTCTGCTTTGTCTTCCTCATAACACACTAGTAATGAAGAAGAGCAGAGCTGGGCAAGGACACACATTTGCTGGTATTCTATCATTTCTAATGCTAAATGCCACATTGAGGAAAATGTTAGATTCAAATGACAATGAAACATTAAGATAGCAACTTGATAACTGAACAAGTCAAACTGTGTTAAATAACTCTTAAAATGCAAAAACTTTATATTTTTCCAAAAGCAAAATAACTTGGAGGTAACTAGTACTTTGGAACAAGTGTGCCCATGACAAAATAAAATTTTAGAATTTTAGAACAGGTATAGACTCCAGCATGTCTAATGGCATTAACTATAATTTTTCTTTTATTCTCCTATTTGTATGTCTATAAAATAACCCCAGCCCAATCCCTCTCCTCTGAAAAGCTCTGTAAGTTTTTTCTCAGAGTGGACAGACTAATAAAAATTGACACTGCTGTTACCACAGGAATGTAGAATGAATGCATGGTTGTCAGTGGTCAAATGATACAGCACAAATGCTGAGATATAAATTTATGACACAGGGAAAAAATTATTTTAATGTGGTGGAACATTAGTGAGTGTCCCTGGGAAGAGAGCAAATTGTGTTGATTTCTATTTTTAGTGAAGCTCATAAGAAGAGAATCCAAGAGGCTGATTTCTCTTTCTTTCCCTCCCTCCCTTCTCTACTGGTGTTACTTGATGGGAGAAATGGCTTCAGACCTCCATCTCATGACAGAAGTACGAGAACTTCAGATTAACCTAGACTGTGAGAAAAATGGAGTTTTGTTTGTTCTCAGTTGACTTTCCTGTGATGTCCCTCAACAGTGGAGGAGCAAAATGCAACGAACAACACAACCAACCCAGCCAAGAAGGAAATCTGCTTGGAATCTTGGAAGGAATCTTGGTAGAACTGACAATTCTGGGTTGACTAACTAACTAAAACATAAACATCCTTTGTGTCAAATCTTTAAAAAATTATCCTCAGGTGAAACTAAGAAAATATTTGGTCAAGGCTGCTAAAAACACATGCATTTGGCAGACTGAGGTGTTAGCTATTTGGTAAACTGTTTTCAGGCCAATTAGAGGAAGATCATTCCCTTTTGAAGTAAAATGAGTTCCTTCTAGAGAAACTGTCTCCTGCTCTAAACTGCAGTGATATTATTATAGCCTGGGGAGGTATAGTGGATCCCAGGGGGAAAAAAGCACTTCTGTGATCTTTAGGGAGACCCACCCCTTTGGAAACTATAACTCTGCCCATTGGCTTTGGGATGGAGGAGCTGTGAGGGTGGCAAGAAATCTCTCTTCATTCATTTGTAAGAGATAAGAAGAGTAATTTTTAAAATGAAGATTATGGCTTGAATTCTACTACGGAAAATAGGAAAGATGTCTCTGATGACAAGAGAAATTAAACTGCTCTTCTGATAATCTGTGCTCAACAGCATCTTCCAAAGGGAATGTTGCTTTCTCTACCTCTCTCTCTTAACAAATATTAACCGGTCTTTTCAACATTTAAAATTGTTTAGCATGAAAACATATGGAAACAACACAATTCTTTTAAATTAAAGGATTTCTTTCTCTTAAATATGCATCCATCTTTTACTGAATACATGATGCTTCTCTCTTAATATATACAATCAGTATTTAACTCTTAAATCTGTGTATTTAAACTCTGTACTGTAGTAAAATATGTATTGTTTTAATTAGTAAGGATTCACTGGTAACAATCAGATTAACATTCAATTGTGGTGGCTGAATGAAAGCTTTATGATGCTCTTTGATGTACTGATCCTCCCCACAAAGTCATGGGTTCATTGTGCTATCTTACAGTACGAGACTCTAGTGCTCATTTAAATCTTAATCATTTTTAGTTATCTTGGTCTATTCATACTAAATTTTTTGGAGGGAGTGAAAGATAATGAAAGCAGCTGTAACTGTATGAAATGAAATCAATACAAATAAATTTGACAAAAGTTTGCCCTTTTTTGCTGCTGTTGTTAAATCTGGGGGTAAAATTCACCTTTAAATTATATCAGAAGGTAAGCCTTTTATTTCCTAGTCCCACCACCCTTCTGATACCAGCCCCCAGATAATTTTCAGGCAGAAGTGAGGGGAAGAGATGAAAGCGAGAAAACAAGGTGAGTGAAGGGGAGCCGTGGGATAAAAAGCCGTTGTGATGTCTGATCTGAATGCTGAAGCAGTTCATGTGTCCCAACTCACGTGGTCAGTGCTCTCCAGAGAGAGGCTCTTGGTCTTGTGAGGAGAAATGGGGCTGGGAGGGCTGCTGAGGTTGGAGCTGTTGGAAGCTGTAGAATGCCTTGGAGAATCAGAGTCCTGCAGCCCCAAAAATTAGGACATTATTGATGAGCAATAATTATAGCTAACATTTATATAGAGCATTATGGTTTACAAAGTGCTTTACATCATCTCATTTGATCCTCACAATAGCACTGTGAAAGAGTAGAGACATCATCTCCATTTTACATATAAGGAAACTGAGACACTGACAGGTCACAAAGTCTTATGTGGCAACGCCAGGAAAACTAAGTTTTTCTGACTCCAAATTCAATGCTCTTTCTATTACACCATAGCTGTGGGGAGAAGCACATGCCACCATAGATAATACTCGCCTTCTGCCCCTCCCCCCAATTAAACTAATTTTGTTTACTTTTTCACTGTCATTAATCTCTGAAGGCATAGTTTGTGTGTGTGTGTGTGTGTGTGTGTGTGTGTGTGTGTGTGTGTGTGACATGAGAATGAAAAAGAGTACATGCTAAATGCTTAGATACAGGTAACTATTTATGGAAGCACTTAGAAATGTGTGCTCTTTCCACATAAAGCAGACTAATAACTCAGCTGAAAAGTACCTTTTCAAGGTATAGAATCCTATAAAATTCTAGTTTGCAAACCCAAGTTACCTGTCTCATTGCCCACAGGGTAAGAATGACTAGCGATTCACTCAAACTGCTATAGGCTGATCTCAAGATGCAATTATTTAAGTAAACTCAGTTTTTCTACTTCTCTATCCATACATTCCTTCTCTACTTCAAGCTTTATCAGATGGGATATTTAATTCTAATGTACATTTCTGAATTCCTAATAACAGATCCCACTTTTTGTGGTTCCATCCACAGCCTTTCGCTTCTGTCACACTCACCTCTCGATCATAGTCCCTTGCTGGCACATCACTTCCTTGGTCCATACCTCCAGAAGACAATGAACCATCTGAAGGAGAGGTCATAGGTTGCCGTTTTGTCCCATAGCTTCCTCCTGAGAATTCTCTCCTTAACGCACTACCATTTTGTGAAGATGACCCTAAAATATTGTGCAAGTTCCTTGTATTACTTGTGTGAAAGAAAAAAATTAGTACAATCTTAAGTTCTAGAAGTCCGTGTCATTAAATGAATAAGCATCATTACAGCTTCTATGTACCTTATGAAATAAGAAACACATGAACTTATCTCTATTTCATAGGCAGGAAGAAAAATGGAATGAATACTTTCAAAATCTCTTTGTCAATGCTTTGATCTTGTCAATTTTTTTTGAGAGCACGGGGATGTGCAAGAGATAGCACTGCAAGCAACTACTGCCAGTTGGGAAGGATAGTTAAAAAAATAGATGACCAAATAGGTTAACCCTACCTCCATTCCCCAAAAATGACAGGTTGGAACTATGGGCCAAATCAAATAAGTTGAAATTTAATGAAGATAAATGTACTATTTGGTGAAGATAAATAAACTATTAAGCTCCACAAGGGCAAGAATAAGTCTAACTTACATTTGATACTGCCTCCAGCACAAACAATAATGCTCAGCATACAGTAAGTGCTTAATAAATACTCATATATTTGTTGAATAAATCAAAGTCAATTCCTATATTAAAAAAAATCAACTGCACAAGGATAAAGTCACAAAAGCATGGCTAAACTACAAACTATATGCAGGAAAAATTTTTTAAAATTAAAATAAAATTAATAAACAAAATTTTAAAAAATTTTAATTAAAATTAATAAAAAGAAAAATTAAAACATTTTAAAAATCTGGAGCTTTTAGTGGACTATAAGTTCAAGATAGTACTGGATTAGAAATCATACTGTACAAGCAATGTCTCAAAAAATAAAGAATATTTAGTTTGGAGGAGAGAAGATGGGAATGGGAGGGGGGGGAAGGGGGGGTGCGAGTGGGGGAGAATGGATGATGTCAAGTATTTTAAGGACTTTTACTCCATGAAAGAAGGGTTAGTCTTGTTCACTTTAGCTAAACAATGGAAGAAGGAGTACTTAGCGAAACCTAAAGAGAGGCAGATTTAGCCTCATTCTAAGTAAAAAGTTACTAACTTTTTAGTGTTGTTCCAAAGTTGAAAAACTGCTTCATTAGGTATTAGGTCCCTATCTTCACTTAAGGTCTTTCAAGTAAAGGCTGGATGAATGATAATTAGGAATGCAATGAAGAGCATACTTGCTTTAAGTATGGGTTGGACCAGATGGCCTCTCAAGTTACTTTTAATTCTGAGAGCCTGTGATTATATGTGATACTTCTTATCTTTTAGACTTTACCCACAATTCCACTTTTACTTAATTTAAATTTTAAAATACCAGATTCAGATTACAATTTAATATAAAAAGAGCTGAGTAACAGAAAGAACAGGGGAGCCATAAAACTGAACAGAAAAAACCCCCATGATTAATAAAATTATTTTTATTGTGGCTCCTCAAGGACCGAGAGCTAGGTAGCTTTGTAATCATAGCCAAAAATTTCAAAGATTAGGCCTCCCTAAAATGGAAAACTAGCCCCTAAGCAAGGAGTCAGGTTTTTCCCTTAATGTTCAGGTTACAGAGAAAAGTAGAAGCCAATCCTGAGGGAGGTTGAGAGTGAAAGAACAACTCATATTTTTAGATAGGTGAGAAATCTGAGTTGATTGAGTCTCTTTCAGGAATTGCAAACAGCTTCACACTTCCTCTAACTCTACTCACAGAAGAAAGTAATCACTAGTATTTGTATTGGAAGGTCAAGTATTTGGTCTCCTTAAAAATAACAGAGCTTCTTTTGTGGTGGCAAAGAACTGAAAACTAAGGGGATGCCCATCAATTGGGGAAGGACCAAACGAATACGGCACATGAAAAGTGATGGAATACTAGTATGCTATAAGAAATGTTAAGGAATGGCTTTAGAGAAACATAAAAAGATGCAGAGTAAAGTGAGCAGAAAGAAAAGTACAATATATATAAGTACCACCATCACCAACCCATTCTGTAAATAAAGCCAAACAACTTAAAAAGACTTAAGAACTCTGCTCAACACAATGACTAACCATGATTCCATGGGCTTAGAGAACAGAACATGAGAGGTGTTTTTTGGGCACAGCCAATGTGTGTCTTCATTTTGCTTTTCTTATATTTGTTACAAGGGTTTTTTTTTAATAGGGGTGGGGTAGTAGAAGAGAGAAATGAGATTTTTGTTAACCAAAAAATAAAATTAAAATAAACAAAAAATAACAGAGCTTCCAGCTACAGGTTCAGGTAATAATAAACTGTTCCAATGAAGTACTACTTCATGAAATGTTTTTAGCTTCCTTGGTTAGAAGGTACTATATACATATATAATTCCTATGTATTATTAGTATTTACTTAAAATCAATGGTAACATTTATAAAATCACCAAATATTTCTGTTCCCCCCCCCCCAAAATGTTCAACTTCATTTAGCTTCCATTCTGTGACTATGGGTCATGAAATAAAACACTAATTTAATTTATCTATGAATCATTTAATTAAAATGATAGCCAAGAAAAGGTGCTTGAGTGCTTGCAGACATTACCTTCTAATTTACTTACTCATTTTCACTTCTTGAAATAGGCATTTTTGTTATATGGACTGCCCTTGTACCTCCACTTGGAGCTCTTTCACCATATTTTTACTTAACCTGAATACTGATTTGAATTTTCTAACAGTCCCTTTGTAAATATGTGTCTTTCTTTGTGTAAGTATGGGATCAAGATTATGCCACTTCACTTAGTCCCAACATATTTACCAGGTAAGAACACATTGATTGATCACTAGGTGTGAACAATGCTTGGGTAGCTTGGAAGCCTACAGGAGATCTGTTTAGATTGGATGAGAGACTGTCATGCCCTCTGTTGCTTCTATAAAATCATGAAACTAGTTGGAATTAGAATTTGAACTAGTGGCAAGCTCCAAAGAGTGTTTCAGTCGAAACCTAGAGAAGGAAACGGTTGGAGTGGGTGATAAGAGGAAGAAAATGCCTCTCTCAGCCTCTTTCCCTCGTTTTTCATGTTTGCTTAATTTTGTACAGGTTTTCATTTGGTCACCTTCTAGACCTGTTCTCATCCATTCAACTGTGCCAAAAGTATACATTAGGACTGGTGCACATAACTGTTAATTGTTCTAAATGCATTTTCCCCATTAAGCCTTAACTTTAGGATGCCAGCTTGTTTCATAACATACTCTGCTTTCTCTTTGGTATCCTTATGCTAGATCTGTCTTTCTTGGAAAGGACCAACATATTTCGAACTATCACCTTCATCCACTGGTTAAATTCAACCTTTGTATTTGGGCCCAAAGCAGTCATTCTCTGTTGTTACTTGGCACACATTAAGAATTTCACATTTATCAAAACAATAATAGCTGGTATTTGTATGGCACTTTAAACTGTACAAAGTTCTTATATTATTTCATTTTATTCTCATAACATCTATGGGAGGCAGATGCTCTTATTATTTCCATCTTACAGATGAGGAAAGTGAGGCATATAGAGGTTTTGACTTGCCCAGCACCATATAAGCTGGTAAGTATCTAAGGCTGGATATGAACTTAGATTTTCATGACTCAAGGTCCAGAGTTCTACCCATTATATACAATGTACCTAAATGACAAAAACGGCATTTTGATATTCTTAGAGAAAATATTCATGAGATGAAATGGCTATTTAATGTATTTTTCAGTGGGGCCACATAACTTGATATCATCCATGTATATCAAAGTCATAGATGTTTTAGTACAATTACCCTTTTGATTTAAAAGCCGTATCAATTTTACTCAAGAGTAAAATGATAGCCAAGAAAAGGTGGGGATTTAAGTCTAAGCAGAACCACAGTCGCCTTAATCTGTCTCCCTGGAACAAGTCACCTTTTATATAAATTGTTCTTTATATTAACTGAGTTGGTGATATTTTTGAAAGAGAGAACAGTTGTCCATGAGTACATCAAATATTTTACTATATGGCTGGTTTATTTTATATGATGGAAATACACGACCAACCATGAGTGTGTTATAAGAGTCAAAAGCTTTGAGATAATCATTTAAGAAGATGTAAATGTCACGGTGGGTTTGGGATGGCTTGTTCAATAATCACAGTTGATAATGTATTGCTCTTTATATCCCCATGGCTTTTTTGAAAACTCTTTTTGCTTCTCAACTATTATTTTTGTATATATGCTTGTACATTTTTAGAGTGATACAAGTCGTGACTGCCTTGTATAAAGTAAATAAACAGGTAATTGGTCCACACTTGGGGAGATCACTAGAGTTATAGTAATAAATATATGATGCCTTCCATTAAGAATGATGGGGTCAAGTTTGCACAAAGACGAGAGTTTTGCTAATAATTAATGTATCCCTATATTAAGCACCTGAATCAAAAATTATGGATCTTATTTGGACCTCTCACTTTCTAGGTCTGCTGAAAAGCTAGAGTTTGAGCTATATCCCTTGATGTAACTACCATCATTTATTATATTAATGGCATACAAGTTTTCCATTTCATATTTGAGCCAACCTATGTTTTTTGTTGTGTTGGACTTCTTTCAACCTTACAGATATCTAGATATGTTCCATATCTTCCTTCTTCAAGGGTTCTCTCTCTCCTATAATTTCTTTGTTTCTTAAGCTGCTCTAGTATAGTTGATTGATACTGAATTATTTATTTTTTGAAGCTGCCAAGACTCCTTGCATTCCTTTAAAATTTTCACTTTGACTTTCAATTTTTGATTAACATTAGCAACAATTTCTGACATTTTCATTATTTTTTAGATTCCAATTTACATTTTGTTGTTGCTGCCTTGAACTGGGCAATATAGTGTTTAAAATTCCTGCTCTCCCTCTCTCTCTCTCTCTCTCTCTCTCTCTCTCTCTCTCTCTCTCTCTCTTCTTTCTCTCCATATATGTGTATCTATCTATCTATCTATCTATCTATCTATCTATCTATCTATCTATCTATCTACTGACTAGATATTGATATAATTTTCCAATGTCTTTCCACAGGTCTTCAAAAGTATTCTCAACTCACTTTTGCCATGATGGCATTTAATACTTGTTTTTAAGAGTATGTTCCTAGATAGCTCCACCTTTCCTCCTACACTTCTTACTACGTAATGACCACAGAACATATTGTTGCATGCAGGTCATGAAATAGTTTTATACTCTGTCAAATATTGTGGGATGATTCATTCTTTCATGATGATGATTCTAGCAGACATCAGCTTTTGGAAATTACTATTTTTTATTAGTTCAATGACTTGTGGTTCTTCATCTTTCGTATTTTCAGGTTTAAGCAAGTCCTCAATTTCTCCTATTGTTTTCTAATCTTCACTGCAGAATGGAGTTATTTCTTAAGATTGCCCTGTATTAGGCAGATTTTAGATGAAGAAATTAAAGCTATCTATAGTCATATAAAAAACTGCTCTAAATCACTGTTGATTAGAGAAATGCAAATCAAAATGACTCTGAGGTAGCACATCACACCTATTGGCTAACATGACAAAACGGAAAAATGATAAATGCTGGAGAAGATGTGGGAAAATTGGAACAATAATGCATTGTTGGTGGAGTTGTGAACTGATCTAACCATTGTGGAGAACAATTTGGAACTATGCCCAAAAGGCTATAAAAATGTGCATACCCTTTGATCCAGCAATATCACTACTAGGTCTGTTTCCTAAAGCTATCATACAAATGGGAAAAGGACCCACATGTACAAAATTATTTATAGCAGTTCTTTTTGAGGTGGCCAAGGATTGGAAATTGGGGGGATGCCCATCAGTTGAGGAATGGTTGAACAAGTTGTGGTATATGAATGTAATGGAATAGTATTATGCTATAAGAAATGGTGAGCAGGCAGACTTCAGAAAAACCTGGAAAGACTTATATGAACTGATGCTGAGTAAAGTGAGCAGAACCAGGAGAATGCTGTACACAATAACAACCACACTATGTGATGACTAAGTTTGACTGACTTATCACTTCTTAGCAATACAAGGATCTAAGACAACTCCAAAAGACTCACGATGGAAAATGCTGTCCACATACAGAAAAAGAACTATAGAGTCTGAATGTAGATCAAAGCATATTATCTGCTTGCTCTTTTTTTTCGTTTGTTTCTTCTTTCTTGTGGTTTCTTCCATTGGTTCTAATTCTTCTTTACAACATGACTAACGTGAAGATAGGTTTAATATGAATGTATATGTAGAGCCTATGTCAAATTGCCCATGTCTTGGGGTCAGGGGAGGGGAGAAAAGGGAAGAAAATCTGGAACTCAAAATCTTATGGAAGTAAATGATGAAAACTAAAAATAAATAAATTAATTAAAAAAGACTGCCCTGTATTTATCTTCTAACACTGTTGCATAATTAGGCTCTGAGGATGTGTGAGGGCCTTGTCTATACCTTGTAAGAGCTGCTTCCCATTTTGTTATTATGTAGTTCTAGAGCATAATAAAACCATTCATATCTCCTGGACATTTCATACATACTCATGGTTTGCCCACTTTAGCAGTCAGTGCCACATGTATCAAAACATTTCCAACAAATTCGGTATTTGGAGTTATTTAATTTATCTTGCCTTCTAGTTGTAATGCTATTAAAATAACAAGTACTATAATTTAGCCAAGTCTTCCCAATGTGGTGTTTGTGAAACACCAATGTAGGACTCTGCATATTCCTATTAAATTTCACTCTATCTGAGTCACCCTTTTATTTTAAAAACTGTTGAGGTCTTCTGTGGCAAATCTGATAATCATATTATTAGTACATCTTCTTCCACATCACTGATAAACATGATGAACAAAAAAGACTAAGGACAGAGTCCTCTGGGACTACACCAGAGACCTCTTTCCAGGTGGATATCAATTTATCACTAGTCTTTACGTTTGTTTGTTCATCTACATAATGATTCTACCATCAAGCCTGTATCTCTTCAACTACTTTATATACAAGGATATCGTGAAAGATTGTCAAATGCCTTGCTGAAATCCAAGTATACTATGTCTACTATGACAGTTTAATGAATACTGCCAAAAAAGAAATGAGCTCAGAGTCTACAATGACTAGTTACTGATAAATCTGTAAGAACAATATATAAGGATCTATAACCAAGAGGTATATATAGTATTCATAGCATTTGTGATTCAGGTACAAGATCATAATCACTTGAATGCTACTAAGTTTAAACTTTTCAATCAGTTCAATTCTCTAATTTTTCTCCCTGATCTTCTGTACCCCTATACTTCTTCAGGCATAGTAGAATCCTTGCCTTCCCTGTGTAGCCTTAGAGTAGATAATGACTGCTTCTTGTAAGTTCAGACACTGTGCAACTAAGAAAAAGCACAATACAAACCATAATTGTGGAATATTGCTTTAGGTAATGGTGGGTTTCTTTTCTGAACAAGCACAATTCTTGATAGGCTATCCAATAGATAATATCTGTTGACTGAAGTAGAGTGTAAACTAGAAGCACTGAGCCTTTAGGGAGAGGGGTTAGATGAAAGCTTTTCTCTGTGAAATAAGTGTGTCCATATTCTACCATGTGTAAAGCAAGAACTGGGATGAATAAATGAAATGACAGCACTTCTAAATTTAAATGCAGGCAGCCCAGGGCTATGACGAATACTTTTATGGACCCTTAATACTTACTTGCTACCAGCCCACTGCTAGCACTCATGGAACGTCCTGGTTCAGGGCGTGATTTGGTGATGGATGGAATACTGACAGAGCCACTGAACACTGTCCGGCTTTCTTGAGGCCTGAGGTTCTAAAGGAGAGATAGAAAAAGAAATACTTTAGCCTGAGGGAAAGGATTTATTGCACAGATATGTTTTTTAGTACACTTGACAACACAGAACTTTCCTTTCTATTAGAATGAGCAAGGAATGCAAATTAAACAACACCTTCCCTCCCACACAAAGTAACTCTGAAACAAAGCAAAACTAAATCTCAGGTGGGAGAGCTTTTTTTTTTAATCTGAAACATAAGAATTCTGTAGCAAGAACAGTGGCTTGAAGTTACTGAGTTGGCACTAATGGTCAAATGTTGAATTACATGGACAAAGGCAGACAATTTAATATAAGGCTCCCTAAGCTAAGATCTTAACATACTAACAAACTAAACATCCCAACAAATGCCCCCAAATTACAGTATTACATTAAACCGTACTTTTTGATATATATTACGTATGTATGATTTCTCACAGGTGGCTACTTACTCCCATGGAAGGAGTCATTTTAAGAACTCACACAAACACAGCACTGTGTCACAGACATGTAGACTGACAACAGTCCTAAAATGAGGACAATCTGGTTAAAATGTTCAGTTAGGTGTATCAGTCTGAGAAGCTTTCCATCAATCTTAAATCACTTTGGGGTACAATGGAGGGGAGAGTTGGCTATAAGCATTTTTCCAAAATCACAGACTCCCAAACAGTAGTGTAATTGGAGGGGGCGGGGTTGCAGCAGGGGCAATTGTTCTAGACACAGACTACAAAACACATCTTCTAACCAAGAATTTTAATATATTGCTTTATGTCATAGGTTGACCAAGAGAAATTCTGAGCAATTTGATGAGTCCCTGGATTGGCTTAATGATATTTTAGGGTGAGGGGCCATTTCCCAGGGAGGTGGATGTGAGTTACTGGGAGGACAAAAGAAGCTCTTGTCCTAGTGACTAGAGATTGCCTATAGGTGACTGGTTGACTGAGGCTCAGGATGAAGTACTTTGGTTAGTGTAATTGCCCCCTCTGTGGTCTAGAAAAGTGACCTGTGAGATGTTTCACCCCTTTTACCCATTGCTTTCTTTCCCTTGGACTTTCAAAATGGATTGCAGCAAATAGTGGTGGTAGTGGTGGTGGTGACGGTAGAAAAGAAAGGGATTTTTCCTTTCTGCTATCTTTTCTCTAAGAAGAAATGGCCACTTGCAAGAGGGCACATGGAGGGTAGCCTACATTTGCCCAGATGAAAATGAGATTAGTCTCTGGATGTCTTCTGCTTTTATATTTCATTTTTAGAGGATAGGTCAGACATTGAGAATCCTGAGAATGAATGCTTCCAGCCTTGGAGGTTACTTCATGGATAATCCTGAGTTGAAGAATTCCTCAATTTGAGAATCTGCAGGTAAGGCATGGACTCCAGACAGAAGAGTTCCTCAATAGCTTGAGATTTGGGAAAAAAAAGACTATACTGCTGATGGAGGACCAAAGCCATGCTATGGCCAGGCAGAAAAAAAAAACTAGCCCTTGCCAATCCTCCATAACATTGCTATTATTCAAATGGCACAAATCTGAGGTGAATGGAAAATATTTGCTCAGTACCCCAAATGGTCTTTGCTTTTTGAGGGGAGTCCAAGGAAATTAATTAGTTGACAGTTTCCTGAGTTTATTTCTGTACACTGATGAGAACATTGAATCTTATGCCTTTTCTGTGGTGAAGGAAATATAAAGCAGTCCTATACCTGACAGCCTTACTGTACATTAAGGGGAAAATCCTAGGCATAAGTCATATCTTAGCTTTGTTTTAGAAATTCCTCTTGAGTTTTACTATGACACAAGGATAGAGTCAAAGAAAGGAAGGGATCTGTATGGGGTCAGGCTCCCAGGACTGAACTAGAATTGAACATAAAAGCCCAGAGCTCCCTGGGGGCTGGGGTATAGGCAAGATTTATTTTCTCAGATGAGCAGAACTATATATGTGCCATTGCTATTATTAAATACAATGATCCATTCTTTCAAATATGATCACCTTTCCGTTTCTTGAATATTCCGTTTTAATATTTATTTGGAAAAAGTACTCAATTATATTGATCACCAGGTTCCTTGACTTCTGGTTGTAGTTAATAAAAACAATATGATATAGGTATATATTTTTTAAAAAATCTCTCCTTCCCATTTGTATTCAATATTAATAAAAGAAAAAAAGGTTAACTATGAATATTTTACTAGCCTATAGTATTTCCTTTTAACGTGCCCTCTTCCCTTTTTCTACCTTTGGTCAGTGTGGTCAACAAATGATTACATAAAATTATCATCTTTTAATAATGATCCAGCAATAAATCATTATGATCGTGGGGAAGCAGTAATCTCTAAGATGTCTCCATTTAAATTCTGATTTTCAGACACATCAGGATAGGAGACCTGCTAGAAACAGAAATTCACATATTTCACTAGCTGCTTAAAAGCAGGAAGACAACTTGATAATAACTATGCAATTACAAAGTATTACAATCTGTTCTATATTGAGAGACGCCCTAAAGCAGGGGTGGGGAGCCTGTGGGCCTTGAGGCCACATGTGGCCTTGTAGGTCTTCAGGTGCAGCCTTTTGACTAAGTCCAAGTTTTACAGAATACTTTTATTAAAGGGAATTTATTCTGTGAATTTTGGATTCAGTCAAAGAGCCGCACCTGAGGACCTAGAAGGCCACATGTGGCCTCAAGGCCCACAGGCTCCCACCCCTGCCCTAAAGGGTCAACTTGCTGGACAATGAAATAAAAACTTCTTCCTAACTCTGAGTTTTGCCATTATGTGCTAAGTAAAATTTAGGTTTCCTGGGTCAGGAACTTAGAATAAATTCCAATGAATTATTATCAATAAAATTCTGTTTGGCTTTTAAAGCCCTTCATAACCTGAACCTTGTATATGTTCCCAGTTTTCTCACACCTTAATCCCTTCCACATATTCTATGATCTAATAACATTGGCACTTACACTCCTCATCTCTTGTCTTAGCTGAAGTCCTATTTTCTGCAAGAAGCCTTTCATAATTTTTCCTAATCTTAGTGTTTTCCATACAAGGCTGTTTAAAATTTATCCTATATACATCTTTTGCTTACACAGTTGTTTACATGTTATCTCCCTCATTAGGCTGTGAGCTCCTTGAGAACAGAGACTGCTTTTTGCCTTTCTCGATATTGTCAGTGCTTAGCTCACTGCCTGATATACAGTGGGTGCTTAATAAATGCTACTTGACTATTGTTTTGACTATGTGATGCTTCTGATTACCTTCACAGGCTCTCTGAGCATTCTGTCTAGGCTAATTCCAAATTAAGCAAATTATTTCTTTCATGTCACCATGAGGTCTTTTAAAGGTCCAAGAAACTGGATGATCATGGTTGACAAATGCTCTTCTGCCCCTCTTCTACTAACATTCCTAAATCTTTTTTTAAAAATTACTTGAGGAAAGGATCTCTGTTTCAAAGGGCTCAGAAGATACACACACACACACACACACACATATACACACATATATGTATTTAAACTTTTGGTAGCGTAAGGCAAGATTCATTAGAAAACTCTATACACACACTTATTGCTACACATAGTTATTTTAAAATAATTTTTTAAAATTTAAAAACATTACACTGCCTTATCTTAAATTATTTAACAATAACACAGCTATATAATATCAGATTTTAAAGCCTCTGTACAAAGAAAGGCCCAAATGTTCCAAACTATTTTTTATATCCTTCCCCTTCTATACCTTTCATTCACTGTTAAGTCAAGCATAAATAACCCCAGGTCATTTATCAACAATCTGGAACAGAGAAATGAACATGTGAGATACCAGCTTGTTTTTGTTATCAAGCACATGGACGCTACTCCTAATTTCACTTTCTTAGATGCTTCTGCCTCTAATGCCAAGATTATACCATGACAAAATTGCCAACCCTTCACTCTGATTGATGTGATTGTCACAGTTGGAAATGGCAACTAGAAAATTCCCTTGATCAATTTTTTCCTCAGAGCACAGTATATTTATCTATCATTGGTTTTCTATGGAAAATACTTTTTATTTAATAATATATATCTTATTTGTATTGCTGAATATAGAAAACCTTTTTCCCACAGAAAGCCAAGAATTATTAGCAATTTTACAAATAACTTGATATGTAACACTAGACAAAAAAGGTCTCTACCTACAACATGTCACAAATATAACTGAATGCAATATAAACTATATGAATACAACTAGCATGAAACTGTAGAAGTTAAACAAAACAACAAGAAAGAAGGAAACAGAAAGTTTCATGGTGGTATGCTACATGGGAGAATATTTTGAGCCATGATGAAATAAAAGTCAAGCTACAGAAGAATCTTGCTTGACTGGTATGATGTGATTATTGCTTCAGCACAAAGGGAACAAGCATTCATTAAGTGTCTATGTACCAGGCACTTTACAAATCTTATCTCCATTGGTCCCACAACAATAATACTGTGAAGTAGGTGCTATTATTATCTCCATTTTACAGTTGAGGAAACTGAGGCAGACACAGTTGAAATGCCTTACCCTAGGTCACACAACTAGTTAGTGTCTGAGGCAAGATATGAATTCAGGTCCTCCTGACTCCAAACTTTATCTACTACGCCACTGCTTCTAACTCCTTAACTCTACAAATGCTTCAGTCATAGACACTTTTAGACTACTTAGTAAGGAACAGTAGGTTTTTCTAAGTACACCACAAAAATCGCCTTTAAGGAGACTGTGGTGAACAGCCATCATAAGAGGATCAAAATTACAGTCAAGTAAGGTAAACAATGATGATGTGTAAGAAAAAATACATTCATTTGGAACGAAAAGCATATTGAAAATCTGCCTCCCTTTAAGGCATCAAATTCAACCATTAAAATTTGATTTACATATCTATTTGCAAAGTCCATGTAATTCTTTGTGTGGGTATTTTCCCCCCAAAATCAAATGCTTCACTGTTCTTTTCTCTAAGAAAATAAAATACAAATAAAAATCATCAATGCTAGTAGCTCAATAGACAAGCATTCATATGCAACTAACTTTATGATACAGAAGCAGCATGCATATAATGTGGTACAAAGAATCTCGACAGAGCAATGGATGAGTCCCAAGCTCTGACAAGTAGGTTATTGTTATCACATTACTGGAAGGGAAAGAAAGCTTAAAAAAAACAAACCCCAAAACAACCCAAGCCTGAACTCTTAATATTTTGATACTTTCTAATGTAAAACTAATAAAATTTAAACATTCAGCAACAACATCCTTGCTTGGCAAGGCTGAATAATCAGAGGAAAAATGAACAGAAGACATGCTTAAGGAAAAAACATACATAAATCAGGTTTCAGTAAATACAATGAGAACAAAAGTCCACTACCAAAGTGACACTGAATAACTAGTTCTCCAATCTTTTCCCCATGCAAATCTTTTAAAAAATATAGTGAAAGTTTGCCTCACGATATATTGTTTCAAATGGCTGTCTTATGTGAAGTTTTTTTTTTTTTTATCATTTTTCTTATTATAAGTGCTTTATATGTAAGTGCCAAAACTCCTTTGAAATTCTACCCTTCCTCCCACTTACCACTAGGTTACCACTGCTGATATCATCTGCTTACTATTGCTTACCTGTGGCAAATCTTAATCTGGTTTAATGACATTTTAGGATGACATTACAAATATTGTAAACTAGTAATTCGTTTTAAATTCACATGGAGTTAAGAAATCTTCAGTACAATTTAAAAGACAGAATAATGATAAATTTTTTGTCACCTTCTGCAGCCAATATTCCAAATGAAGAACTACTTTATTACACATATAGATAAAAATACAATGTGATTATTTCCCACAAGCTATTATAGAGAATTATGGAAAATGAGTCCCTGTGGAACAGTCCAAAAATTTTATTATTTGCCCCTTTGAGGCAGATAGGGTTAGTGTAAGCAGCAAATTTTCATCAAAATGGGAATTCTGCTTCAAAGGTGGACACACATTCTCCATTCCACACACAAACTAATGTAAACAAATGCAGAAAGACTAAACAAAAGCAAAATGACACTAGATGCCACAGTTCTGAAGAATGTGATCTGCCTCATTTTGTTTCTTGTATGGGTTTAGTTTTTATAGCCAGGATTCTGGGTACAATTAAATCCATGTTAGCAATTCAGTACCCTAGTTCTTGCTAATGGCTTCTTTTCTGATTTGTGGGGTCTACCTTTTATGAGCAAAGGGTAGTTTTTTCCTATTATTCGTTAATAGTTAATATTATTAGTTTGTATGTTGAAGATTTTGAAATCCTTAAGAAAGACTGTAGTGAAAGATAAAACTAAATATAAGATAATTGTGTGTGCCTTAGCTTGGGTCTTAATCTCACAAATAATATATTTCTCTGTAATAAATTGACTTTTGAATGATTTAGAATAAAACTTTACAAGAGCCCCTTTCTAAGAATGATGAGTCTTTATTTGAAAATAGGTACTTTTTATATTTTAAAAAAGGTTAATACTTATTCTTTGTAATGTGATTAACTTTTGAAAAAACTGGGAGTTTATTTCTTAAAATAAAGAAATCTCCAAATCACTACTACACCAAAAAATTCTCTAGCACCAAGCCAAAAATAGAAATAAATATAAAAAAGAAAGGAAAGAAAAAAGGAAAAAAAGGAAAATCTGGGCAGAAAGGGATGAGGTCAGAAGGAAACATTCATGAAATGCTAACAGCTTGCTATATTATTTGTTAAGCCAGGCATTAGGAAATCCATAATAAAGTTAGTAAACTTTATTTAAGTTAGTACAACACCTGACTCGGCTGTTCATACCCTTAGAGTCATAAAGCTTGGTGTACCAGGGACAGAACGCAGAGACGGGGAATATTCAGGGTTTATGGAATCAGGAGAGAGGAATTTTTCAGCAGAATTAACAGTCATGTGATAGACGTGCTCAAAGTTGATCGGAGAGGAGATCAGGCTGGAGTGATGATGAGGGGATGAATGAGGGAAACCTGGCTATCAAAGACAACAACAGAAAGAAAGAAAGGTAGTAAGGTAATGGAAATGGAATCAGTAGTTATATGTGAAATTTCAGACAACCATGCCCCTATAGGAAAAAGGTAAGGCTGAAGCACCAGCTTACACTGCAAGTAAATCCTTGCGTTAGTCAATTCATTCTTTACCATAGCTTCCACATTCTGAGAACATTAGAAGATTTGAGGGGATACATCTCTAACCTCAGGAGGTCAAGGTCACATATTTTTAAAGAATGCCTCATAGCTTTTGATGTCAGAGAGAGAAGCTGCATAGTTCCACTGACTGCATCCAGTATGGGCTTTATGCTTGGAGAAGAATGAAATTTCCATTTTGTCTTTTTTATTAATGTGATAATATAAACTGCCTAGATTAAACTACAAAGCTTTCATACAGGAAAAGTGTTATGTCAGAGACAAGAAAACAGTATGTTTTCAAGGCTGACCCTAAGAAGAAAAAAATTGCTATTAGAATATTGTGGTTTTGCTTAAAAAACAAAATTACCAATGCTCTAAAAAAACCACAGATATTGTTACTTAGTTAAATATTTGCTTAAAGAAGAACAGAGAATTCATAGTCATTTCAACTAGAATAACTTTCCTGATACATAGCCAAAAAACATGCAAACATACTGAAAATCAAATTTCTTGGGGAGCAAATATTTGTCATTGAATGGTCTTTGGTTGTTTTAATTAAGGAAAATTTATCCTTCACTGACAGCTTCTATATGTGTGAAAAGTAAATGATATAAAGGGAAATAAATAAAATCAGTAACAATACCTGAAATTAAGCAAATAATAATAAAGATAATAATGATACATAACATTTATATAGCTCCTACTATGTTCCAGGCACTGCACTAAGCATTTTACAAATATTATCTCATTTGATCCTCACAACAGCCCTGGGAGGCAGGTGCTATTATTATCCCTATTTGACAGTTGAGGAAACTGAAGCAGAAACAGAAGTGACTTGCCCAGAGTAACACAGCTAGTAAGTGTCAAGGCTAGATAGGAAGTTGGGTGTTTCTTACTCAAGGCTGCTTCTCTGCACTACGGTGCCACCTAGCTGTCCAACTGTCCTATACAACAACCATTTAAATTCTGGCTCCCCATAGCTTTGAAGAAAGACTTTGTTTGCCTTTTCTTTAGTGTTTAGCTCAGTGCCAGGCACAAAGAAGCGCTTGGTAAATGGTGGCTTGCTGACTGTAACGTTCCAACATGATTTAGAAGGTGAGGGGGAAAACATCTCTTCAGATTCACTGTCCATTTCACACACACACATATGCATACACACACATATTACATACACACATTTTACTTTCAGATCATTTTGGGACCAAGATAATAAAATTATGCTGGTTACATTCATCCAAAGTCAATGAAAAAAGTGTTCTCCTTACTTCTCAATTCTCCTCAAACCTCAACCTTACTGTACTATCAGCATTTATTGTTTTATATATGTTCATATTTAATCCAATATACCTTTAGGCATGTGCTCTGCATTGAAAAAACTATTATAGGTTGTGGGGAATTGTCTTCATTCACAATTTTTAGCAGTATTCAATTAATTGTAGGTAATTTCATTAATGGGAAAAGAACACTAAAAACCTGAGAATATTACCACTCAAATATTAGAGAAGTTTTGTGATCCATGAAGGTCCTCAAATATTTTAAGCTCTAAAAAGTACTTAATTTCACAATCACTTTGCATTAAAGGCAAATGATGAGTATGATCCATGAAAATGAAATATGAAATTATGAAGAATGGGAATATATACAAAATCTGTTGCCTGCCACACATACAAGCACGAGCACAGGCTGGAGAAATTTACAAAATCCCTGAAAATACAAAACAGGAGGTTCTGTCTTATACAGGCAAAAAAAATGCATTAAAGCTTTTGAAATTGTTGTGAATTGGAAGGGTATACAATGCACTTTTTTCTTAATTCTTCCCACATCAATTCTACCTTCTGTGTCTCTATCAATATAGGCTCAAATAAGTAAAATTATATAAAGATTCAAAGACTTAAAATAAACCAGGTCCCACCAAAATCACAAGGCAAACCTACATCAGTGGCCAAGCCAACAAGCCAAAAAACCAAAACCAAAACAAACAAAAAAACCCCCAAGTGAATAAAGAGAACTCTTCTTTCTCAAATTCATGGCAGCATATACACAAAAATATGAATTACTTTCTACTACTCTTACCTCAATAGAATCTGAAGTTCTTAAATATGCAAACATAAATTAATGCTCACATTTACAATTATAGAACGTTCATGATAGATCTTAAAAGTTACTTGGTCTACCTTTTACAAAGGAGGGAACTAAGGTCCAGAAAGACTGAACAATTTAACCAAGGCCACATGGCCAACAAGATTCTTCACCCTGGGCTTTTCTATTAACGCCCTGCCTCCACTGCAAATTAAGCATGATATCTGTTTGTTTGGAGAAAAAAAGCAACCAATATTCTTTAAGGAAAATGAGCATTTTACTCATTAGCTACCAAGCTCCTTTAACAGGTAATAAGAAGGTATAGTTTAGTTTCCAGACAAAGTTAATCTGAGGTAGATTAAAGCTGCCAATTCACAGGAGAAAGATAATGCTTAAGGGGCCTGAGGATATATTTCTGAGAAATGACATTAAAGTTGTATCCCTCAAAAATAACAGCATGGGTTTCTTAACGTGATGGGTAAATGAACACAAAAAAAGATGCATTCTTCTGACTAAACTGAGAGTGATTACGTAGAGCAGAGAGGGCTGTTTCATAATGAAATCAATATTACTGAAAAGGTTCAAGACAGTATAGTAATTCAACTTTGTATTCTTACTGAATATATCATTTATTGCCATTAATTAGTTCTACAAAAATATGGTATTAGGATAAATGGTGAAATTACATTACCAGGAGCAGTTAGTTTCCTAAGAAAAAAATGGCTGGTTGAGCAAACAAATAATATTAGCCAGCATTTATATACAGTGCTTCAAGGATTCAAAACATTTTACAAGCATTATCCTATTTTATCCTCACAATAACCTTTTAAGATAGGTGGCATAATTATCCTCATTTTACAGATGAGAAAACTGAGGCAAGGTAGTAGTTAAGTGACTTGCCTAGGATCATAAAAACTAAGTGTTTAAAACCAGATACGAACTTGGTACTGACTAGAGGTCCAATGCTCACACACTCTTTCTTCCTATCCATCTATTTATCTACCTACCTATGCAAAGAGATAATATTTATAAAGTGCTTAGCATAGTGCCTGGCACACAGTAAGCATATTACATAGCAGGCACTATCTAAATATATTTCCTTCCTTTCTTCTTTATACACTGTGCCACCAAGCTGCATCTAATGCAAAAAGATTTTGTGACTTTATAGTGAGGCTTAACTTTAACATATTAATGATGCTACTGAAATGATATCAATCAAGGAGACTTTATGCTAAACGTAGAACAGGAACCACTCCGGAGTCAGGAAGTGCTCAAGTCCGAGCTCCGAACAAGACTTGTTGTATGACTCTGGACAAGTCACTGAACCTCTCAGTGTCCATGGCAACTCTAACCTCATCCATAACAGACAAGTTGCTGATATGTCCATCATCAAAGGACCACAGACTGAGAGCTGGAAGGGACCATGGAGGTCATCTAATACAACTCCCTTCTTTTACAGATACTGAAGTGAAGAGAAGCTAGTTACTGACAGGGATGGGATTTGAATCCAGGTCCTCTGACTCCAAGTGCTTTTTCCACTGTAACCTGAAGAAGTTACAGATCTGTTCTTCTCCCTCATCCCCCCATCCCCCTACACACAAATAAATAAAAGGCAAGCAAAAAGCACTGGTAGACTTAGAAAAAGGAATTCATTCCCTGGTGGTGAGTTCAGGAAGTACAGAGTATTACATAGACAACATATTTTTCTTCTTTAATACAATTCCACTTGAGGCAATATGAATGATGTCTAAATTTGTTTCTTTCTATTTATAGGTTGAAGGGAAACTATATACATATACATATGTAGCTATTAGAATTATTCTAATTCTAACCTTAGGTTTCTGGAAACATTTTTCTGCTAATGAAAAATTATTTTTGTATAAGTTAAAAAAGAATAAAAGGGTAACATTTTAACTCTGAGATATAGGCACCTTTTAATAAAATACTCTGATACATACTGGCTGTGTGACTCTGGGCAAGTTCCTTGACCTCTCTCTGTTCTGAAGACTATAAGTCAAAGAGCAGGTACTCATTTGAACTCGTTTTGAAACTGCTAGTTATTTTTCTTTTTTAAAAATTTCTTTTATTTCATTAAATATTTACCAATTACAGATAAAAAAAATTTTTTAACAATTGCTGAAAAAAAATTAGAATTCCAAATCCCCTATCTCCCTCTCCACCCCCAAACCCTTTGAGAAGGTGAGCAATTTTATTTTGATTATATACATGAGGTCATGCAAAAGACATTTCCATATTAGCCATGTTGTAAAAGGAAACACAAATAAAATAATAAAAATAAAGAAAGTTTAAAAAAGTATGCTCCAATCTGCATTCTGAGTTCATCATTTTTCTCTCTCAAAGTGGAGAGCAATTTTCATCATGAGTCCTTTGTAACTATTGTGGATCACTGTCTTGATCAGAGTAGCTAAGTCTTTCACATTTGATCATCCTTATGATATTGTTGTTATTGTATACAATGTTCTCTGGGGTCTGTCCATTTCACTTTGCATGAATTCATAGAAGTCTTCCCAGGTTTTTCTAAAACCATTCTGCCTATCATTTCTTATAGCACAATAGTATTCCATCACAATCATATACAATAACTTGTTCACCTCTTCTCCAAATTGACAACCCTCCCCTCAATTTATAATCATTTGCTCTGCAAAAAGTGCTACTACACATATTTTTGTACAAATGGGCCTTATGCTCTTATCTTTGATCTCTTGATCTAGTAGTGGTATTACTGGATCAAAGAATATGCAGAGT